AAAAAGTGGTGAACTTTCGCCCCCTCCACCAATACACCGACAAACAAAATAGATTTTTGCTTTTCAATATCTTACATAATTTCTTTATTTAAAATCAGCACATTTAAAATTTCTTTGAAAATTGATCTGCAACTTGATCATTAAGTCATATGCTGACTGACGTTTTTTCGTACTAATTGTTAGGCCATTATTTACACCCTGAATTGTCGACAAATTTTTCCGTTATTTACCGATCATGACAAGGAGCACACGGCGGGTGTGACCGGTCGGCAGGGGATGGTCACTCCTCTATTGCACATGATCCCACCTCTGTTTTTGCTCTGCTCTCGATTTGTATTGTTTTAATGGACTCTGAGCTTGAATACTGTTCGATTTCTCCATATTTCATTTGTAAATGTTCTCAACTTCAAAAGCATGAGAATCTCCCATTTCGAAAGAAAAGAACAAGTAATCCTTTTAAAGGAATGATCGGCATCGGATCATAAAGACATCATTATGAAATGTTTTGAAATAAGTTCCTGGACTTTTCCCTTTTATTAACTTAAATTAATATTTTTTCTATGAGTATGTATATGCAGTGTACATATAATTAGCTTCAATTTCACATTATTTCTCAATAACGTACGACGTGTAAAGGAAAGCCATATTAATATGCTTTTCTTAATATACCAAAGGGGGAGTTTCGATAAGGTCACTCAGCAACCTACTTTTTTCCATAAAAAAAAAAAAAATCATTTCATTTTTTCAAAATTAGTTTAGAATTGAAGATAAATGTGTTATCGTTTGTTATTTATACTTCAAAAGTTAATACGAGATGAATTCACACCGCATCTAACACAGACACATAACACATACACCCTCAGATGCGTTAACATTAGGCCTATGGAAAAACTTAAGAGGGTGGCATTTATAAATCGATGTTTAAAATATGAAGTCACCTACATTTGCCCAGTAGTGAGAAATACTCTTCACACTAATATCTTGAAATATGACGAGTGTCGCATGTGCACCATATTCAAAAAATTGAAAATTGCATTAAAATTGCATATCTAAAATTAGAAGCTCCTAGTTTCATGATCTGACTCTGTAAAAATAGTAAGCCAAAAGTAGCATTTTTTTAAATCAAATAAGAATCTCGGAAATATTAATAACAGAAAACACTATCGTATCCTATCCTCATTTCGATATTTTTTTCGTTACATTTTTAGCTCACCTCCACGAAGTTTGGGGAGCTTTTGTAATACCGTCAGCTTCGGTGTTCCAGGTAAAAGTTTTTGAAGCAGTTTTTTTTTCCAAGTATATTTATGCCCTATATTAATCAGAGTGGTCCGATCTAGTGTGTTTTCTTGTCACCAGACAGGTTTCAGATGCTGTATTTTCAGCTAAAGATGTTTTTAGAGCAGGTTTAAGTTTTTGGAGTTGAGCAGCTATAAATACGTATTGACCAGACTTGCTTCATGATGCATCTACGGATGCACACTACCGGACCTGCTTCAGATGCTGGATCTGACCTACATTTTCTAAATGAGTGAGCAGGTTAAAGATTTTAAAGCAGGTCTCATTCTTGTGTAACTATAAGCCCTATCGTGACCAAACTTGCACTGATGATGCATCTAGGACTGCACACAACAAGACATGGTACACATGCTAGATCTTCCTTACATTTTCCGACTGGCTGAGCAAAAAATAAGTTTTGGAGCAAGTCCATTCCTTAACATTATTTATCATGCATAGTTATTTTAGACTTTCTGGTAAATAGAAATTACGCCCCAACATGCAAATGCCTCCAACTTTCAGAATGAAAAATTAAGGTAATACTCAATGTATTTTAGGTTTTTCCATCACTTGGCTATTCACATAATAACATGTATGTATCGTGATAAAATATTATGACTGTAATTAAGGGATACCGACCCTCTGATAAGAGAGATAACTTTCCAAGTAAAAAATACAAATACTACTCATAGTTTTCATCATCAGAGTTTCATTTTCGCGACCTTGGAGTAGTCAATTCGATCAAACCTGACATATGATGGAAACAAAAATATCTAAATTCAGTAGTAAAAGCCTTATAAATTGAATAAGTTCTATCTCTTTTGAGGACCATTTTAAAAATTGTTTAATGTTTCAAGTACCAAATTTAGAATTTTTATTAGTATTACATTTTTTTCCAATGAAAAAAAAAATATTTGTAAGAAAGATAACTCTTGCTAACAGATGCATTCTTTTCTTACAATTACGTACAACATTGTGATATTCTGACTTAGGAAGCAGCGCTTTATTATGTTTTCTAATATAAATTTAATAGGTATGACACTAAATATTATTTTCATATACACCTCATATTTTTAATTTTATGTTGTGATACTAAATCATTACTCTTTCTATCCCCTTTGTTAAAATTTCTTCATATCATGATCCGACATAAAAATCATTTCTGAAAAAATACGCAGCGCTTCATACCTCATACTGTTTTCCATTTAAAGCTGATGCTATAGCTCTTGATGAAAATCAATGTTGGGAAATTTTAAAAAAATGTGAAATTTAGAGCAGAGGGTCATTAGTCCTTAATATTATTGATATTATCAAATACATTGCAATATACGGTAGGTGCTAGGTAAAAAAATATATTATCTGGCAGCCGCCAGATAAGTTTCTAGTCCCTACCATTGAAATATCTGGCGCCCGCCAGATAAAATTGTAGTGATTTTGCTTTAGCGAAATCTACAACTTCTGTTTGTAGTCAAATCTGGAAGTTTCATGCCTTATTAGCAAGGATTAAATCTACACTTTAAACAAAAATTCTCTTTTCATAAGTTTATGTTTCCCTTTAAATTTATGTTTTATTAGATTACATGTCTACACCGCAAGAATTTTATTTGGTGGTTTGTAGTTATTTATGTGGCGGCCGCCAGATAAGTTGCTAGCCGCCGCCAGTTATTTATGATGTGGCCACAGGAAAACTATTTGGCAGCCGCCAGATATATTTTCTAGCAGCCGCCGAATAATTATGTGGTGGCCGCCAGATAAAATATTTTTGCTACCTTGCACCTACCGGCTTCCGTTACAAAATGATGCTCTGAAATAAACTTTTTAAATTCATTTATGTATATATAGCTGTATTTATTTCTTAATCGTATCTATTTTTCTTTTAATTTCAAAACATTTTTTTAAATTCAATTTGATGATATAAAGGTATATTTTTATAAAACTTGTAGTTGTGTAACCTCATTGATGAAAATATATATATTGCATATACCAGTAAATGAACGTTTGACGCTTACCTTTCTTATGTCTGCATATCTTTTCATTTACTTTTTTCTCATGAGAAAATGTTACATATTGATTATAAAGTTTATGTTTAAACTGTCGATTAATTATGATTTTTTAAAATCTTTTTGTAAATGTTTACGTTTTATAAGTCAAATTCATCCTCATGTAAAGAAAAGTCACATTTAACACAACAAAAAGAAATCGCACCTTTAAAAAACATTTGCATTAAATATATACCTTTTCTGAATAAAAAAAATGTTGAAATCGGTCAATTATGGCTTTTTTCAAATTTATCCTATCTCATGTACGATTTTGTATGTGTGGCCTTATCGGCCCCACGATTTCTTTTTAAAACGGCCTTGTCGAAACTCTCCCATTGATAAATGATAGAACAAAGTTGTTATATAAATAAAGTATGACCACATTATGTTGCCTTTAAAAAATATTTTTCTTTGGAAAAACATGAAAAATGTAATGTGAACTTTTTTCTTTTTAAATGGGATGAGATGCATGAGATCAAATAGGCTAATCTTTTGAAAAGAAAAATAACTCTAAAGATAAATTTACTATCGAGTTCTTAATTAAAGTTGCAAGGAAATAAAACTTTAGTATTCATGCATGTACCTAGTAAATTTTGTAAACGCTTTTTTTTATTAACTGGATCATAAGCTATGTTCAGGAATATCTCCAGCAAAGTTACTGATAGAAAATAGTTTGAATGACATGACATTGTACATAATTGTTCAAACGAATTATGAGCCGTGTGCAAAATCAATACACATTCTATAATTAGAGATAGTATCATCGTAGGTAGATGTTTGTTTGTTTCCTACCGTCTAGATGGAGGCAATCTGAATTCATGTAATATTATGGCTTAGTAATGTGTCAAGTACTTTTTTCAAATCATTATAGAGGTAAAATTCAAAATACGGTGAAATTGCTTTATAAACGATAACAAAAGTGAGCCGATCCCAGTAATATTTTGAAATATATTATTTTTGAAAAAAAAGAAAAGTAGTGCAAGTTTCTGGAACCGTGCCGATTTTGCAAATTTTCAATTATGGAGATGACTCTACATCATCATGTGTTATTTTTGGGGAGAGTGTGTCTTTCCCTCTTTCCTTGACCCATAATTAAGTCATGAACGAATACTTCAAATCTGACATTGATTACACTTGTGCTATAAAGGCTAAACAGGAAACAGAAGAAGATTCCTTGGGTATTTAACTTCAACTTTTTTGCGATAGAAACGGCAATTTGCAGAAAGACTTAAACAGGTAATCCAATTCGTTATACTAATTACAGTTTTTAATCATGTGTATTCAGCACTTTATATATATATATCTATATCTATCTATCTATCTATCTATCTATCTATCTATCTATCTATCTATCTATCTATCTATCTATCTATCTATATATATATATATATATATATATATATATATATATATATATATATATATATATATATATATATATATATATATATATATATATATATATATATAATTGAATTGAAACGACTTTTCACGGATTTCTATATCAGAGCATTAATCTGTACTTAACCCTTACACTGAACTGTAAAATATTATTTAATGAAAACAAAACTTTACAGAACCTTTGTTATCAGACCTACTCTCTAGAATACTTGCTAAAATGCCATATTACTTATGAATTATCTTTTAAAGTTAAAAACAATTTCTGAACCAATCTTTATATACAGAATGGAGCATATTCTCCGTCTATCAGAGATTCTATATGTTGGTCTGTGTCGTAAGATAGGGACACCAACAGAAGTGGAGATCAGAAGGGACGTGAAGGACGTTGAGGAGATGATAAGGAAACCTGTTACTATGCACAGAGGGATGGTGCAGATGGATAGTGGTAGTTATAGAGAGGGATTTAGGTTTACATCATCTGACAAGGATACAATGATGTGGGCTTTTAAATATAAACTTATAACTGACATATCTCAGTCTAGCGTTTACAATACATCAAAACATCACATAATACTTATTGAAGATTCCGAAACCCCACCAGGATTTATTAGACTACGGCATATGACGTACACACAAGAGAATACCATGTTATCATTATGTCTTCTTCCCTTCAACTGCGGAATATATTTATCTAGTTCACTCTTTATGGAATCAGTTTTTAATTTCTTTATTAGAGAAAAACATTTTCAACAGGTGAATTGCAGAATCAATGGTCCTTGTAATAGTGCGTGTGAAAGAACGATTGAATGTGATAATGCTTTTTGTTTTGCCACTATTTATTGGCCTAAACTTTTAAGAGTTTGGGTTGACAGATGCCGGAGACATACCTGGCCGCCTGTGCCTGTGTTGAAAAATATTCTACGAAATGGATATCACTGTATGCCTGTTGGAAGTAAAATAATATCGACGTCTAGCGAATTAGAATGGAGATTGTCGTTTTCTCAAGCCGAACAACAGCTTGTGTTTATCATGAATCATACACAATTTCTATGTTACGGTCTTTTAAAAATATTTCTTAAGGAAGTTATCAATTACAGGAAGGAACCATTACTTTGTTCGTATTACATGAAAACCACAATATTCTGGATAATTCAACTTGGACATTTAGGATGGTACCCAAACAGTTTACTGGATTGCTTCTGGAAATGTTTTAAATATCTCATTCATTGCGTTTATTTTGGAGTTTTCCCCAATTTTTTTATTTCACAGAACAACATGTTCATAAACAAAGTAGTCGGTGAAGCACGTGATTCTCTTTTTCAACAGCTTTATCAGTATTACAGAATGGGTGTATCCTGTCTACTGCTGAGTCCGACTCTCAGATCAATCCTAGAACCTGCCCTCATTAGCCCTTTTTTTGTACTATCCTCTGCTGAGGGAGACTTTATATCTGTTAAAGACATAGATAAGTGTAGCCTGTCAGAAATATTTCGCCTTGTATTTTATAATATAGGGCTATCAGATTGTTATCTCCACCTGAAATCAGTTGATACACTTTCTAGGTTATCACTCTCACCATACCAGATATTAACATTACAGTATTGTGAGGCTGAGACTCTCGTTCATTTTGCATTCACACTGGCTAACAGTGCTTCATGTTATACACATAAAGAAGCCTACCTTTTGAATAGAATGATTTGTAACTTGTTGCAACTGGCAGCAAAGCTAGGTTCTGTGTCTCACTTACTTTATCTTGCATTGTATTTTTACAGAACAGGGAAATATGATAAAACACTACATATCATTTATCTCACTAAACAAAGACTATCACAGGTCTGTATAATGTATTACGATACTCCCGACAGGCACAGGTACAATCAGGCTGTACGTAATCTCCCTTTGTCTAGAAAGATGATGAAATATTGGGCTGACAACGTGCATTTACTCAACTTTATCCCATGTATTGAAGAGTTAAGCTTAGAACAAAATGGAATGTTAATATTACATTTATCACCGTTTCTTACAGTAGAGATGTTGTCAGTGTTATCTCACTATAGACTAGGTAATAGATCTCAGTGTTCACAGTCACTGACAGATCTACAGACACTGCTGCTCTATGACGATCGGACATACGTTCCCTTACGTTTCAGAGACCTATCCTGGCAGGTACTTGGTATCTGTCAGCATGTTGTGGGAGACTTACACGGAGCGTCCCAGTCTTATGAAGAGTCGCTCAGACAGGAACCCATCCACAAAATACAAGAAGCTACATATACTAGAATAAGATGTGTTAAAAGACAATTACACAGAAATACACCGTCATAGCCATGTTTCTAAATTAATAATCTGAAGTGTTTTTTTTTAAATTATAAGTCCACTAAAAAGGTAAAAAATTTCTTGTAGCTTGTAGGACGTGCAATGGATATTAAAGATTAAAAGATGGATTGAAAATGAAGATTTTAAATAATCTTTTTATATGATTCAGCATTGTTTTTTGTCTTTCAGTTTTTCTTTATACCTTCTTTTTTAAGGTTATTGTTATGATATAGGTTGTCAAAATACATAAAATGTTGTGGTGATTGTTTCATGTAGGACTGGGTATCGGCTTGAAATTTCATATCGCATGTACTGAGAAATTCATAATTGTATTGCTACATGTCTTGCAATATTTTCAATAAAAATTAAAGTGATTCTTTCTTCTTATTAACTTCAAATTGTATGCAGAATGTACGTAGTAACATATTTATAAATACACCCCCTCCCAACAGGGATAGGTAAAGCTTCCCCTAGAATATCAAAGTGCACTCTGTGCCTTCACTTCTCTGAACTACCAAAATATGACGGCATAATGGAAAATGACGTCAAGTCACTGCCAACTTGAGGTGTTATGACGGGGAGAGTGTCATGAACTTTACACTCTATTTCAAACTGCATGTAAAAAGTCTAGATAGCTATTTCACGGGTCGTGAAAGTTTTTTTTTAAATCTTATATGTCCGAATATTTTAAAAATACATCGCGTACATATACTTGATTGAAATTCAGCATGTTCAAAATGCTTACGAAAAATATCCTTTTGAAATGTAGTCTGTTGATACCCGTGGTTGGAGGTAGAATTTATTTTGTGTGTATAAAAGAGTCTGGCGCAGGTGATTAATGAGGATTAATCTGAGATGTTTTGTGGAAATTTGTCAGAAGAGGTTGTTCTCTAAAATGAATCTTGCTTGGGGAAAATGTGTGATGGCTTTCTTTTAATACAGATTACGATATTGTGTAGAAAATACCCTCAAATTTCTCGCGAAATATTTTGTAATACACAAGTAATACTATGTTTTTTCCCAAGCGCATTTCGGGTACACAGGGAGAAGATGAGTTTATTTAAGTAACAAAATATCAATAATTATTCTGTTAATCGATCGGCTGTGCCGAAGAGATTTATGTGAAACACTTCAAAAAATCATAAATGACCGTCACGTGATCAATAAAGCCATGTGATATCATAACAAATATGCCGAGGGAACCCTCTATATAAATTGGAGGTATTTAAGTACAATATTTATAAATTATAATCAAAACCGACCTCATAATGAAATATTGTTCTGAGTGCATTTTAAAGCTTTGGGAAGCTTAACATAGCTGCGAAAAAAAATCCTGTTGATTTAATTACAATTATGCACCGATATGGGTCCACACACTTGCTTTCGTCTTACTGTTTTGCACGATCGCAAACGTTTCTATGCATTTCCCGTTATAATTTATTTAAGGTATTCCACCCCTAATAGGGCCTTACTTTATATCTTTTAATATCTGACACGTTTATACATATAAAGCTCAGATATTAATTTAAAGTATTTTTAGATTAGAAAAATATTTACTTTGAGAATTTTTCAAAAATGTAATTACCTAGGCAGCAAATAATAAACAAAAATTGCATTTGGGTCTATAGAACAAGTTTGGTTTTTTTTTTTTTTGAAATTCAGATACTAAGAATATCAAAAAATGCTTTGGTGGAAAGAAGATTAATTAATTAGGAATAGAATAACGATTAAAACAACTTTTTTTTACCGAAAGATTTGTTTTAAAATTGATTTTTATTGATTAAAAACACAAGTAGATAATTTTTCAAGGACAGGTCAGGATTATAAATTATATGTAGGAATTATCGATAGTAGTAAATGGAAATTATATCTAAATGTCTGTTATATATTCAATTTTATTTAATCTGAGGCTATTAGGGATGGAATACCTATATTATATTCAACAGTGTAATATAAATTTTCCAAGTTAACTGATGCTGAGTTTTTGCGCATACCTGGCAATGTCTCATTACACAAGACCTAGTAAGTAGTATCCCAAGAGTCACACAAACACCAAGTTTGAAATGTCATGCTATTTATTACACATGTATAAATGACGACAGATAATTATGAGGTAAATCTGATAAAGGGGAAATCAATCTTACACAATTCATCATTGAAGAAGAGGCCTATGGGCCAGAACCTTCATCTGAGCCACTTTGGCACTTCTGTTCTTCTTCAGATTTTTCCCTAAATACATGTACTCCTATGTTAAAATTTTGATCGCCTTTTGTGGCCCCATTCTGTACACAGGGGACATGCCTAAAAAAACTGAACCTATACAACTAGAGGATGTTTCTATAAAATCATTACTAATCATGGCTTTGCTGGTCTTAAGAAGAGGTTTTTGAAATCCGTTCCTGTAAGTTCCTATGTTAAACTATGATCGTCTATTGTGGCCTCAGCCTTACTCTGGAGTTCAAGATTTCAACAAACTTGAATCTACACCACCTAAGGATGCTTCCACATTAATATGATTCATCATGGCTTTGCTGTTCTTGAGAAAAAGATTTGTCAGATTTCCCCCTATATAATCCTAAGTAAAACTTTGATTCCCTATTGTTGCTCCACCCTACCCCGGTGACCATATGAACAATTTACGATCTACACTACATGAGAAAGCTTTCACCTAAGTTTCGGTTTTCTTAGTCCAGTAGTTCTTGAGAAGAATATTTTCTTAACATATTACAATGTAATACTTTGATCCCCTATTGTGGCCCCAATATTCCCCCAGGAGACATGATTTGAACAATTGATAGTCTACACTACTTTAGGATGTTTTCGAATAAGTTTCAGCTTTTCTGGTCCAGTGGTTCTTAAGAAAAAGTTTTTTTTCAAGAGTTTCCATTTTTCCTATACATTTCAATGTAAAATTTATTATAATCCTAAGGACCATCATGATCTGAGCAATTTTCACTACCTCAGGATTCGTCAGCTTTTCTTGTCTAGTAATTCTTAAGAAAAGGATTTTTAAAGATTTTCCCTATATATTTCAATGAAAACTTTGATTCCCTATTGTGGCCCCCAGGGACCATGATGTGAACAATTTACTATCTACACTACTTCAGGTCAAAATGTACGACCCTTTTTTTTAACAGAAAAATCTCTATATTTGTTATTCTCAAGAGAGCTATATTCATTTGAGAATTTGTAAAATCTAAAATTCTTTTATTTATATACCTATGTCACTGCAAGGGAAATAACCTGTTAATTTACACAATTTTATATCCTTTTATGTTTCAAAACGCCTTTATTAGCACAAATTTTATGACAAAGAATATAATGTATAATAATTATGGCTTTCTCAGGCTGCAGGATTGATGTATTTTATATTTGAAAATTTAGAGAAATCCAATGGTAATTTTTCATAAACTTTGAATGATAAATATACATAACGGAATTTTCTCAAACAAAGTCAGCAATATACATGTATCTAGAATATTTAACTTTAACAATGTGATAAATGTGAAAATTTTGTAAGATTTTGTGATAAAATCAAAAGGTGTGTAAAAAAATATATTGATTTATGTAGAAAATGACAAAAAGTAGCATATCAAAAATAATTAATTTATGTACTTGCTATTCAAAATCAGTCAAAAATCTCTGGAGGGACTCTAACTTACTTGTCATGATTTATTTGTTATAGCTTATTTGTTGTGACTTATCTATTATGACATTTTTTTCTGGTTATGACTAAGTGTAACATAGCTATGGAGAACGTTTATCGTGACTTATGTTTCTTTGAAAATGATATGTTTAGTCCGAATATAACTATGTTTTTTATTCATTAATTGTAGTTTAATATCCAGTACACTTGTGATTACTGAATTCTTACCTGTTATATCTTGTCACTAAGTTGTTATAACTTAATTGTTATTTGTTCATTCTTATTTGTTATTTCTTGTTACTTAATAGTTTTTTCTTAGTTCTTTTTTGCAACTTCCAGTGTGCATAATGATTGAACACATGAACATAACTTAGGAAGCCCTGGAGGGACACTGACTTACTTGTTATAAATAACTTACTTGTTAAATGACTTTTGTTGTGACTTATTTGTTTTGACTTCTTGTTGCTGGTTATTACCAAGTGTAACGTAGCTATGGAGAATATGTAGCTTGGCTTAGGTTTATTAGTAAAACGATATGTGTAGCCCTAGTTTAACTGTGGTTTTTGATTGATTAATTGTAGTTTAACGTCCAGTACTTAATTCTTTTCCGTGATGTCTTGTAATTTAATCGTTATAACTTAATTGTTATTTGTTCATTCTTTTTTTATTTCTTGTAACTTAATACTTATTAATTAATTCTTATTTGTAACTTCCAGTGTCCATAATGATTGAACACATGAACATATATAGTATTTTATATTCACATTAGTAATAAATTTAAAGGTGGTGTACAAGATGTAGGCACATATAGTTTCAGAAAAGAAGAAAGGAATATTTTGCCTTTTAATTTATTACTAATGTCAATATATAATACTAGTTATGTTCATGTGTTCAATCATTATGGACACCGGAAGTTACAAATAAGAATTAAGTAAAAAATATTAAGTTACAAGAAATAGCAAATAAGAGTGAACGAATTACAATTAAGTTATAACAATTAGGTTACAAGATTACGGAAGCCCTGGAGGGACATTGACTTACGTCTTAGGTGTTTTGACTTAGTTCTTATGACTTAATTGTAAATTCTTGTTATTTTATATTTGTTATCTCAAGTTTATTTAACCCAAAACGTGGCGTACAAGATGGAGGCTATGTGTAGTTTCAGAAAAGAAAGGTGTATTTTGCCTTTGAATATTATCTCAATGACAAGACAAAAAAGTAGTTATGTTCATGTGTTCAATCATTATGCACACTGGAAGTTGCAAAAAAGGAATTAAGAAAAAACTATTAAGTAACAAGAAATAACAAATAAGAATGAACAAATAACAATTAAGTTGTAACAACTTAGTGACAAGAAATAACA